TGACCCACTGGTCATAAGTCCAGACACACTAGCATTATTGGGTGCCCCAGTTACTACCCACCTTGTCGAATGCTACCTGCCCATCCACATCCTGGCACAGCCTCTACTGAGACTGTCAGGCCTCTGGAGCAGAAACAAAGGCTGGGGCAGGGTTGGAAGAACAGCCTGGAGGAAGGTGGTGGAGGGATTCCATGGTAATGAGAAAGCTCTACACCTGCGAGTCTTCCCCCAGAGAGCCTGGAGCATGCCTATGTCAGAGCTGAACACTTATTCCTGCTCCAGGCCTCTGACATAGGTAGGACAGAATTGGCAGGGGCCAGCTTGTCACCTAGAAGGTGCTGGGAGCTCAGCTACTAGTTTTTCTTCAGGAAGGCAGGCCCTTCACAGCTTTTCTCTTTCCCCTACTCCTAAAAGAGCTTGGAGGGATCCTGAATCCAACCAAGTTCCCTCCAGACTGTCAACTTCTGGAGGCAGGACCATGTCCTTGAACCCAGCACAGGCCATCAACCTGACTTAAGTTAGATCTGTGGATGAGGACAGTATGGGAGGGAGAGGGGGAAGGAAGAGCCGGCAGTAGACAGAAGGGATCTGGGGGTGAGGGTCTTGGAGAAGCCTCATCTGCTCTGTTTAGTTCCTGGTCACTAGTAAAGCTGGCTGCAGTGTGGCTGGGAGTATCTGACCACAGGGCAGTGTCTTCCCAAGAGCCCCATTCTGTGTGGATTCCTGAGACTAACAGAACTCACTTGAACTTCTCCAGTTGTCTGTCTTACCTCTCTAACCCCCTGGGGCTCAGCTGACATGTAGGTGATCAGGATTTTGATAAGGTTGGGATTCTTAGGCCTGGCATGTAACAGCTCGAGTTTTCTTCCAGGGGAGGGGACTCCACACAATAGCCAATGAGTGAGCTGGAACCTGAAATGCCCAGAATTCTTCTGGGATCCAGGAAGACCCTTCTCTGGTAGATGAGAAAGGTGTATTGAAGAGAATTCTTTAGCACCATTTACGGAAATGGGTTGAGTAATTTTCTTTTCAATTCACTGTCATGGTACTATTTCTACAAAGGGAATATGATCTAAAACTGCAACATAGAGAAAACATATAAAAGACGTACTGGATCCTGGAAGTCCTCCCAGGCTCTTTCCAGGCTCTGTGGAGACCCCCTCCCCCAAGACAGTGCCAGGAAACCTTCTTTGAGAGCAGCTCTGCACAGATCAGGGCCCAGTGCGGCCTGAGGCTTCTGTGCGGTTGGCTGCCTTTTCTGACCATTAATCACGACTAAGTGTCATTACCACTAATAAAATTAACTGGCTTTATATTAGACTCCTGAAGCCATCAATCTCAAGGTCTATTACATTAAATTAAAAAAAAACAAGTGCCGTTGATGAGTGGAAGGGTGTTTACAAAGCCTGCCTCACAAGCGCAGCTTAGGGAATTCTGGTACTCAATTCTTTCTTCCATTCAATTTCTCTTGATGCTTTTGGCTAATTAAAAAAAAAATTGTTTTGAAGAAAGAGTCTCACCATGTAGCCCAGGCAGGCCTGGAACTTGTGGTAGTCCCGTGTCAGCCTTGAGTGCTAAGATCACAGGCGCACACTACCATGTCTACCTCTGACTAATTCTTTTTCTCAGCTTTCTCTATTTGCCTTCTGTGTGTTACAGGACCACTTTCTCAAAGCAAAAAAGGGAGAGAATGAAACTGCTAGGTCTCTTCATTCAAATTCCAAAAATCCCAGAGAAAGGACTAATTGGCCTTGGTTGGTTCATATGATTATCATTGATCCAATCAGCAGACTGATATATAATGGTCAACAGAGACCATATAACAACCTTGTAGGTAGAAGAAATGGTTGAGCTTAGGTGCCCACAATAGTAATTCAAAAGGCTCAGTAGTAGATATCCAAAAAATGGTAGGTATACTAGTATATATCACATAACACATAATATGTATAACATAACACATAATAAATATAGTAATGCATTATGTTATATAATATGATATATAATATGGCTATAATTATAGTATTATGATTGGAATTTGAGGCAGGCCTTGAAGAATTTTTAGTCCATTAGCCAAAATTCTCATCACTCTTTGCTCTTCTCTGCTAATCAATTTCTGCAATGGAGGCCCTACTTTCTAAGACACAGGAATCATTTGAACCACAGTTGTCCCTCACACCAGGGCTTCTGGGCTGCTGCCCCTTTTCTCCCTGTTGCCCCCAGACCACCCTCTATGCTGAAAGCCAGTGGAAGTGAGGTCTCCTCCAGCTGTTGGCTGACCTCAGGTTCTGTTCTGGACCTGCCAAGGGTCAAGCTCTGAGGGTTTCCTGCCAGGCTGCAGGGAGGGGTTTGGGTGTAGGCCTGGTGGACTGGAAATTTACCCATTTGCCCCCAGATTAATGATTAACCGGCCCCTGCCCTCACCCTGTCTGGGAGGGAAGCCCAGGGCCAGGCTGGGCCAGGGGGAGCCGATAGCATCTGTCTCTGCTCTGAGGTTTCAGAGATATGCTCCACGCTGGGTTGGCCGCACCTGATGGATTTGGAATCTATGGGGCCCCTGAGGCCTGGCCAGGGCCTACACCCTCCAGTGAGGCTTCCTACTCCCCAGACAGACGGTGAGTGTGGCATCCAGCCAAATGTCTGGATGAGGCAGGTGACTCCTAATAGCGGAACAGTGCCCTTAGCTCAGTGGGATGAGGGCCTCTCTGACCACTCAGGGTGGTAGAGTGCTAGCCTTGAGCAAAAAAAAGCTCAGGGATCAGGACCAAAGCCCTGAGTTCAAGCCCCAGGGCCAGCACAGAAAAACAAATAGCAACAACAAAAAACCCTCCAATTCCCCATCACAACACTCCGGTAAAAAGGTAGGGCATCTTACAGAGGGAGAGACACTTGGAAAACTCTAGCCAGCTGAATGCAAGCCTGCCTAGCCAGTTACTATGGTTTATACCTTATTTTTTTCTTTCAATGATCCCTTTTCATTTTAGCTTATTTTCCAACTCATGTCTCACTTTTTTTCCAGGTAGGTAAGGACCCATAATCCTACCAATGCCTACAATATAGCTGGGATCATAGGCACATATCAACCAAGCCCAGCCATTAGTTGAGATGAGGTCTTTCTAACTTTTGGCCTAGGCTAGCCTTGAGCCATGATCCTCCAAGTCTCCACCTCCCCGGTAACCAGGATTATAGGAATAAACCATGGTGCCCAGATGTGGCTTGTACTATTCATGTAACCCTTACAGCAACCCTGGGAGGAAGGGATGGAGGCAGGATCTATATGTATCTCTATTGTTTCATAGAGGAAAAAAACAAACCTTCATAGATTACCCAGCTAGGAAGTGGCTGCATCAGGTTTACAATATGGCAGGCTGACTCCAGGATCTATATCTATGACTATGGATACAGAATAAAAGTCTAGGATTCACCTTATCTTCATCCCACCATCTGTCAGCCTGCCTGCCTGCCTGCCGGCTGTCTTTCTTTTCTTTTCTTTTCTTTTTTTTTACATTTTTTTATGTTAGTTTTTTTTTTAAATTTAATTTAATTTTATTTGAGAACATACTGTACAGAGGGGTTACAATTACATGGGCAGGATAATGCATACATTTCTTACCAAGCATTGCAGCCTCCTCCTTTGTTTACCCTTCACCTCCCTTCCCTGTCTTTCTTTTCTTTTTCTTTCCTTCTTTCCTTCCTTCCTTCCTTCCTTCTTTCCTTCTTTCTTTCTTTCTTTCTTTCTTTCTTTCTTTCTTTCTTTCTTTCTTTCTTTCTTTCTTTCTTTCTCTTCCTTCCTTCCTTCCTTTCTTCTTTCTTCCTTCCTTCCTCCTTCCTTCCTTCCTTCCTTCCTTGCTTCCTTCCTTGCTTCCTCCCAAGCATCTATTTGTACCAGGCACCAAAAAAGCCACATGGTTGATGATCTATGTGGGATTTTGGAAACAAGCTAAGTTGGCATGAGCAAGGCAATGGGCATAAGCAATGATATAAAACCAGGAAGGAAAGAATCCAGCCTTTGGCTAGGTGTTTGCTCTACATCTGTACCCCCTTGTGCTCATCTCAAAGTGGTGACTTTCCCTTTCAGGCAGTGAGTGACAATATTTCTCAAAATTTTCCAACTTTTGATCATCCCTAATTTTTTTTGTTATTTTTTGCTGGTCATGGGGCTTGAATACTGGGCCTGGGCACTGTCCCTCAGCTCTTCAGCTCAAGGCTAGCACCCTACCACCTGAGCCACAGTGCCTCTTCTGGCTTTTTTCTGCTTATGTGGTGCTGAGGAATCAAACCCAGGGCCTCATGCATACAAGGCAAGTACTACCACTGAGCCAACTTCCCAGCCCTGATCCTCCCTATTAAATGTTAAAACCATACAGATTTCCAGGCCCTACTCCAGAGCAATAGAATCAGAATTTCCAAGTATGAATCTTTTGAATCTTCTTTTTATTTGCTTGTTTTGTTTTTATGCTGCTACTAAAGCTTAAACTCTGGGCCCCATGCTATGGCTTAGCTTTTGTGCTCTTTATTTTTGTTTGTTTGTTTTTTTTGGGTCCGGTCATGGGGCCTGAATTCTGGGCCTGGGCGCTGTCCCTCAGCTCTTCAGCTCAAGGCTAGCGCTCTACCACTTGAGCCACAGTGCCACTTCCGGCTTTTTTCTTTTTGCTTATGTGATGCTGAGGAATTGAACCCAGGGTCTCTGGCATGCAAGGCAAGCGCTCTACCACTGAGCCACCTTCCCAGTCCCTGTGCTTTTTATTTTTAATGAACTATCTCAAATGGCCTTTCTAATTGAGCATGTCTGGGAAATCGGGTAGACAAGAACATACACTAGCATCTAGAAAACAGGTTTGAGGTTCTGCATCCATCCTATTTCAAGAACCTTAGTATCTGGAAAATGGAGACACAATCCTTGTCCCACAAAAGAATAATGAGTAAAGTGCCTGGCATGTCCCAACCTTTGCCCTCCCATCATGGCCTCCAAGGCTCACCAGCACCTCTCTCTCTTTCTCCAGTCTGACTGGGCGAGAGGTCCTGACACCCTTCCCAGGCCTGGGCACTGCGGTGGCCCCAGCACAGGGTGGTGCCCACCTGAAGCAGTGTGACCTGCTGAAGCTCTCCCGTCGCCAGAAGCAGCTCTGCCGCAGGGAGCCTGGCCTGGCTGAGACCCTGCGGGATGCTGCCCACCTGGGCCTGCTGGAGTGCCAGTTCCAGTTCCGGCAGGAGCGCTGGAACTGCAGCCTGGAGGGGAGGACCAGCCTGCTCAAGAGAGGTGGGAAGGACTGAGAGGGAGGAGGGAGGAAGGGAGAGTGATGAGAGGAGGGGGGGACTGTGAAGGAGACTGAGCGGGGGGGTGGGGGTGGGGGTGGGGCGGGGTTATGTCCTAGATACACTTCCTTGGCAAGCTGGGCACAGCTCTGAGTGAGAAGAGCCCCAGGAAGTTATTGAGGGTCTGTTGAAGACCAATGGTGACCCAACCTAAGGCAGAGGAGCAAGAAAGATACAAGAGAGGGAAAGACACAAGACCATTCCTGAAGGATCCCACAGACAAGACAGGTGGCTTCTAACCACCTCCCTAGGCTTCCTCCACAAGTGAACATGTAATATGTAAAAACGTGTGGATGGAGGCAGTTCATAACTGACCCAAATGCTTGAGGTAAAAATCTTCCCTTGTGCATTCGTTCTTCTGTCTCTTTGTTCATCAAAAGAGGCCTCATTATCATTTCCCCCCTTCCCTTCCATCTTGACTCTGCCTCCTCCTTCCTCATCCCCCATGCCCACCCTTCCATCTACGAGTGTCTCTGGATGCTCACAGTGAGTCAGGTTCTGTGCTAGATGCTGGAGTGACAGACAGACTCATCCTTCCTTGGAAAGCACACCTTCTGGAAGCAAGAAGTCTTCCTGATACTCCATTGCTGAGGAGACAGGACTCTGGGACTTTTAACAGAAATACAGAGCCTCTGATCTCCGTGGATTCTTCCATGGAGGGGACTGGGGCAGAGCTAGTGTCTTTTTTCCCTCTCTTTGGGGGGTCAGTAGCCATCCAGGCACACTGAAGGCCAGGAGGAGACCAGGTTTGGACTGGCCACCAATAGTGAAGACACATCTGTGGTCATGGTAGTGGGTGTGATGTTTGGGCTGAGGCAAGTTATCCAGGAGAGCCAAGGCCATTCTGTTATGGGGTCAACTCCACAATGGATGGCAGATAATGATATTGGAGAGATATCAGGTAGTTCTAGGAAGCCCACAGGGCAAGATCTCAGGGGCACAGGGCCTGACAAATGGTTTGGTCCCATTTGTTGCATATGCACTCAGAATCAATATGGCTGCTTAGCCCCTCTTCAGGTATCCAAGTCTCTTCTGTTCACATTGTAGCATTTTGAGCTAGTTCTGGAGTCCTGTGGCTCCTGTCCTGCTGCCCTCTGGGGATCTAGTACTCACTCCATAATGGGATTTGGACATTCCTTTTATTGTCTTTTACAGTCAGTTGTGGGACTTGAACTCTGGGCCTGGATACTGTCCCTGAGTTTTCTCTCCCCCACCCCCAAGACTAGTGATCTACCACACTTAGAGCCACAGTGCCACTTTTAATTTTCTGGTGGTCAATTGGAGATAAGAGTCTCATGGGCTTTTTCAACGTGGGCTGACTTCAAATCATGATCTTCATATCTCAGCCTTCTGAATAGCTAGGATTATAGGAATGAGCCACCAGTGCCTGACTTGGAAATTCCATTTTAATGGCAACATTCAGCCTGAAACCAAGTGGCATGTGATACTCACTCAAAGCCTGTGTCCTGGAGTTCATACTTTCCCAACCTTCCCACACCAGTACCCCCTTCACCTCCTCCAGCCCTCAGAGGACAGTAGGCCACCACGGATCTCTTCTTTCCTGCTGATGTCTGGGTGACCCACACAGGTTTCAAGGAGACAGCCTTCCTGTATGCAATATCCTCAGCCGCGCTCACTCATGCGCTGGCCCGGGCCTGCAGTGCTGGGCGCATGGAACGCTGCACCTGTGATGACTCCCCGGGCCTGGAGAGTCGACAAGCTTGGCAGTGGGGAGTGTGTGGTGACAACCTCAAGTACAGCACCAAGTTCCTGAGCAACTTCCTGGGGCCTAAGAGAGGAAGCAAGGACCTGCGGGCTCGGGCTGATGCCCACAATACCCATGTGGGTATCAAGGTGAGCACATTCCTGGCTTCCCAAAGTGTGGCCCCAGGCAGGGTGCAGAGCTAAGGAGCAAGCTCTATGACAGGCCAGCATTTTGGCGCGCGCGCGCACACACACACACACACACACAGATGAACTTTACTCCTTCAATTGATGTTCTCTGAATATCTGTTCTGGACCATCACCAAGTACTAGGACTAGAGTAGAACTCGTAGAAGGGTCTATGTGTCATCAATAACTAGGCAGTGATGGCACCAAGCCTTAGTGAAGCAGGGATTTGTTTGGAGAGGGGTCTCCTTCTAAGGCCAAAGCCAACATTGCTCAACAACTCTGATGTAATGTATATTCTCCCTCCCCAATTAATGGGCAGAAGATGGAGGAGGCACAGAGAGGAGAGAGACTAACTGGGTGCCAGTGTGACTCATGCTTACCATCCTAGTTACTCAGGAGGCTGAGATGTGAGGATTGTGGTTAAAAGCCCAAGTAGGCAAATCTGAGTCTGTCATTGACCAACAAAAAGCTGGAACTAGAGACATAGTTCAAGTGGTAGAGTACCAGCCATGAATAGGAAAAGCTGAGCAAAAGTGCAAGGCCCTGAGTTCATTCCCAGTATTGGCCCGTTTGCGCACGTGCGTGCGCATGCACGCACGCACACACACACACACACACACACACATACACACACACACACACACACACACACACACAGGAAAGATAGGGAGAAGGGGATCAGGGAAACTTAGAGTATGGTATGAGAATGGAGGGCAGTGGGTCTCTTGGTCTATTTGGATGAGAAGGCAGGAAAGGCTTTAAGACTTTTTTTCCCCCCTGGTCCTGGGGATTGAACTTGGGGCCTGGATCTATCCCTGAGCTTCTTTGGCTCAAGCTCTACCACTTGAGCCACAGCACCACTTCTGGCTTTTTCTGAGTAGTTTACTGGAGATAAGAGTCTCACAGACTTTCCTGTCAGGGCTGGCTTTGAACCATGATCCTCAGATTTCAGACTTCTGAGTAGTTTAGGATTACAGGTGTGAACCACCAGTGCCTAGCATAAGCTCTAAGTCTTTATGAAACCGAATCCTGTGTTCTGAGTCCTCATCCTTTGGTTGAGTAAAGCAGGGCTGCTGTGTTCCGTCATGCAGCTTGTATGCTCTACTAGAACTCTTGATCAAGGGAGAAGGTATGACTGGGACCTGGTTCACGCTTCCTGCACCATTCTGCCAGCACTACATAGAGAAAACAGAGCCTTTTACTAGCTAGCACAAAGGCACATTGTGGGAAAACTTGAGTCTAGTCTCCTCATTCTCCCTAACAATTTACCAGGGTTGACTCACTGTGACAGGCTTGGGTTACTGAGCAGGCCTCCACCTTGCCTCTCTTTCCAGGCCGTGAAGAGTGGCCTCAGGACCACCTGTAAGTGCCACGGCGTGTCTGGCTCCTGTGCTGTGCGTACCTGTTGGAAGCAACTCTCCCCATTCCGAGAGACAGGCCAGGTGTTGAAGCTACGCTATGACTCTGCCGTCAAGGTGTCCAGTGCCACCAACGAGGCCTTAGGCCGCCTGGAGGTATGGGCACCTGCCAAGCTGAGTGGCCCCACCAAGGGCCTGACACCCCGATCTGGGGACTTGGTCTACATGGAGGACTCCCCCAGCTTCTGTCGGCCCAGCAAGTACTCTCCAGGCACGGCAGGCCGAGTGTGCTCCCGGGAGGCCAGCTGTAGCAGCCTGTGCTGCGGACGGGGCTATGACACCCAGAGCCGCCTGGTGGTCTTCTCCTGCCACTGCCAGGTGCAGTGGTGCTGCTATGTGGAGTGCCAGCAGTGTGCCCAACAGGAGCTCGTGTATACCTGTAAGCGCTAAGCTGCTGCTGCTGAGCCTGTGGCACTGCCAGGACTCCCAAGGCCCCTCCAGGGAGGCACACAGAATACAAGAACACACTGGCCTGCGCTGCTCACCACCCCTCCCTTTACAGACCCTTGCCAGCCTTCTGCTTCCCTCCATGCTTGGCGGCAGAGAGAAGCAAAGCCCTGCTTGGAGTCTCAGGGTCCTTGACCTTGTTGAGGATATGGAGTGGGAGGGTAGACTGGGGAAGGGATGTGTAAGGAAAATAAGGGAGACAGAGAAGAGAGCAGGGGTGAGGTTGGCTGAGCAATGGAGGATGTCCTGCCATCTCCATTTCTAGGATTGTCTGGAGCTGGAAGAAAGCAGAGGAAGGATGCAGGGCAGCTGGGGCAGGTGTCCATCTAGGAAGGGTCAGTCCAGTCCTTTGGGCCTACCCAGAGGGTGGTGAGCTCTGAGTGCCATTTGCCTGCACTCCTCTGGTAGTTTTACACTGCTGAAGATGGTGGCAGGAGCTGGTTGTGCAGAGCAAGGAAAGTTTTCTGAGCTTGGCTGGACCCAAGTCAGATGCAGGCCCAGGAGCCCTGTGTCTTAGCTTTGACTTTTCCAGTTTGCCTTAATTAGGCACCCTTATTGTCTCCAGGACCATCCTGCCCTGATCATTATAGAACCCAATACAGATAAGATGGGTGAGTGAGCCAGTCCCCAAGGTGGGCCTCAGATAGTGCATCTGAGAAGAGGCAGGGAGTCATAAAGACCTGTAATGGCAGCCTAGAGGAGGATGGGACAGTGCCCTGGTATCAGGCAGGGGTGCGGCAAGCTCAGTGTTTCTCCTTGCTCTGGAATATATTCTGCCAATTCCTGGTGGCTGGGGTCCTCCTGGCTAAAGTCCCCATACCTGCTGGTTACAGTGACATAGGAGAGCTGTTAGCTCATGAGCTATGATTCTGGTTATACATTTGCCCTCACAGTTGCTTATCTAACTCAGGTTTTGCCCTGGCTGAGACTTTGCCATGCCTGGCTCCTTAATGGCCTCCTTCATTTACAATTCAATGTACAAATGTATTTACCTGAGGAATGGAAGTATTTTTGCTAATTTCTTGGCTCTTATGGCCATATCCAGTGCCCTCTTACCAAGGCCCTGTTCAGAAGGAGAGAAAGCTGTGTACATGTCCAGGCATGCACAGATGCGCACACCACCCAGCCAGGCGCAGGCTTCCCACAGCGCGGATCACATCTTCCGTGGCCAGGACGAAGACCTCACTGGGGTCACTCTGTGGGAGGCCATGTTCTTCCCCAGAGCAGGATTTGAGGCCAGCCAGGAGGAAATGACCTCCTTTGGGAAGTCCTTGGCCTCTTGGTGGCCTTGCCACACCCTCTTGTAAGCTTCCTTCCTCCCTGGATGCAAAGTTGCTGTCCCTCTGCTAAACCAAGAAACTTTGGAATCAGCCAGTACTCAGCACCTTTGTGGATGCCAGGGCTGAAGCCATTAGCAGCCACAGGAGGGCCTGTGGCTCAGGGGAGGCCAAGGTTGCTAGAAGGATCTTCAGTGGCAGGGAAGCCACAGGTGACCTGAGATACCTCACTGGAATGACAGACATCACAGATAAATGATGTCATGGATCTCAGAAGCCGACCTACAGCTTGACAAGAGGAGAAAAAGAGTTGGGAGTTGGTTTTCTATGCATTCTTATTTTCACTTCATAGAGACTTTTGTCCTCTGCTTGTCTTCTGAGTCTTGTTCCCCTGTGACACCCTACTCTGCTCAGCTCCAGTTCAGCCCTGGGCAGAAGACAGCAAAGGCCCCACAGGCCAGAAGAGGAGTTTGGGAGCAATATCATCTATGGCCAACTGGGCAGGGGTACAAGAGGATAAACGACAGGCGTGGAGGACCCAGGTCATGGCTGGCCATTAACACTAGCACCCCAGGTCATTGGCCGAGGACAGGCTCTTAAGGCCCTTGAACTTGTGGTTTCTGCTCGGTCTAGCCCTCTCTTACCCATTTTCCTTTCTCTTCCAGTTACCCCTAAAGATCTACCACAGCCCCACTGGGGCCCCTAGGGATCCAAGTGACTAATCTCTCATTCTGCAGCCTTAGGGAGATGCTCACAGGGTATTTTTTTTCTACCTCACAGATTATAGTTTTTAGGGCAAAAGAAAATAATTTATATAGCTAAGAATATATGGGAAACTATTTATGTTATTTATATGATCTCTTTATTTCATGGGCTGCACATGTGAGACTCCTATGTTTCCAGCCTGACCTGATTAGGGCTTCATGAGCTGGACACCAGGTGGCTGGAAGGGGGTGGGGGAGGAGCTGTAATAAGCTCCTGCACCCCAGGATGGTCTTGTCTTATAGCTGGTGAGCATGTGTCCCTCCCTGGGCTGATCCCTGTTGGATTGGATCTGATCCTTATGACATCACTAGTGATTCTTTGCTCTTCTGGGTCCTGGGCCCCTTCCCTCTGGTCTGCAAAAGTGTTTTGCTCTTAATAATAACCAGAATGAGGATGACCCCACCTGGCATTTGTAAAGCACTTTCCATTTTCAGAAACACTTTTATCTCTTTACTATTTAATCTCCATTGATTTTCTCACTATTCCTGTGAGGGAGATGGGGCCACATTAGGGATCCACCTTCCAAATGGCCCAGCGATGTAGCCTGTGCTCAAAGTCACATGGAAGAGAATCACTCAGTGAAGAAACAAGCACTGCAGGAGCCAACTTTCCCTTAACTTTGGGAGTCAAAGCTTGGGTACCCCCCGGAGCCTAAGAACCCAGAGAAGTGGCTCCTTTCCTTACTGTGTGTAACCCTGGCCTTTCAGCTCCGGGTGGCATGTCCCTATGTCCTACAAAAAGCATCCTAGGTCTCCAAGACTGGAACTTTCCTGAAGGCCTGGAAAGATGAGAACCTCCATGGAAGTCATTTCAGGGGGGCCCTTTTTCACACATTATCTAAGATGATCCAGCTGTACCACTGGGCCCCTCCCAGTCCACAAGTGACTTTGGTTTGCTCTCATTTTTATTTGTCTTTTAAAAATGAATCATTCCCCCACTGTTTTCCTGGATTTTTTTTCCTAGAAAAATCAACTATACTTCCAAACTGGACCCACAGTCAGCCAGTATGAGGGAACCCTACCAGATCAGAGGCATGGATGCTCCCCCAAATGCCCAGTGCTTCCTGTCTTACCCTCCTGCCTGGCCTCTGAGGGCACATAGAAACTGTCCCCTGGTCTAGATGAGCCCAGAGGCCCTGACATCCTCCAAACCCGGCAGACATGATGACCACCCAGACTGTACCAGACCTAGGAATTCTGTCTTGTTTTCCCAAGTTTCTTTTCCCAATATCTGTGAACTTCCAATGCTTTTGACTCCAGGATGATAGTTTAGAATTACAGCAAGCCCACCTGATCTGTAGATATATCACAGGTGGATTTTGACCAAGCTACACACCATGCAGCTCATTTCATGTGGGGAAGCTGTCAGTCAGTCCCACACACATTATTGTCACTTGTGTTTAATTCTGATTATTTGCAGCCAATAACGGTCCCCTTGGAACCACATACCCTTGGATGCTGGGAGTTCACAGTAGAATGGGAGCTTTCAGTCACTGAGGGACATGACATTCACTCAGCCACTCAATGATTATTTAGGGTGAAATGCCAGGGGCCACCTTGGGTTCTAGGATAGAAGAGTTTGTAAGACCAAGTCCCAATCTCATGGGGTTTGACATTCAGGTGGGGGAAGAAAATAAACCAATAAACTATATGCTGTGATTTGTGCTTATTTGTCTTCTCCTTTTTTTTTTTTCTCAATTTACTGCAATAACCCTGCCTGGTGGACACTCCCCTCCTTCATTGGTTAGGGAATGGAGGCTGTAAGATTCAAAGACTCCTGATTGCCAGAAGAAAGTGGTGGGTATCAGGATTTGAACACACAGCTGCTGACCTCTAAAGAATGGGCTCTTTCCTCCCCATATTTCTGTGTCTTCTCAGGTGCAGGGTCAGGTCACTCCATGCTATAGATTCTGAGTAAACTGAGGCAGGATATAATCAAACCCAGTTCACATACACTGAGTCGGGCTAGGTTGAAGCCAGGGTCTCTCCAGGAGCTGCTAAGTGTTTCCAGAGCCCTCACCTTTGGCTGGTGGGATGAGACAAAGTGGGAGCCTTCAAGGCCTCTTGGTCTGCTAGGAAAAACCAGGTCCTTTCTGAGCAAGGACAGCAGAGAGAGCTCACCTCCCAGCCCAGACCTGTCCTGTCCCAGATCTTGACCCCTTCTGTGATCACATTGCCTTATGTGGGATCCCCAAAGAGGCAGGAAGTCCTGAGGGCCCCATATTTCTCCAGTCCTTACAAGTTTCTGTACCCCAGGGCTCCTGAGCCCAGCCTCTAGCCAATTAGGAGCATTGATAGAGTCAGGACCACACACAATGGCAGGCTCTAATTTCTCACCTGACCCTTGCCTGGTAGGCATTGCTATGAAAACAGGCATGGAATAGTTAAGTGATACACTGAAGACTCTATCACTAGCAAGTGGTCTTCGGTGTTCTTTCTACCCTATGCTGCCTTTAGACTCCTCCACCCCTAGCTGAGCCTTCCCTGCTCCTTCCCCCTAAACCGGTTCTAGACAGGCCCTCAGGCCTCTCCACCTTCAGCTGCTGGAAGCTGCCACTCTTCCTAAAGGAGCAGCAGGGCTTGTCGAGACAATCGCTAGGTGGGTTCCTATCCATTCCTCACTCCAAAAAACATCTAGTCGTAGTCTCTCTCTTTCTTCCTTCCTTCCTTCCTTCCTTCCTTCCTTCCTTCCTTCCTTCCTTCCTTCCTTCCTTCCTTCCTTCCTCCCTTCCTCCCTTCCTCCCTCCCTCCTTCCCTTCCTTCTTTTCTTCCTTCCTTCCTCCCTTCCTCCCTCCCTCCTTCCCTTCCTTCTTTTCTTCCTTCCTTCCTTCCTTTCTTCCCTTTTTTCTTTTCTTTCTTCTTTTCTTTCTTCTCTTTCTTCCTTCCTTCCTCTCTCTCTCTCTTTCTCTCTCTTCCCCATATTTACTTTGTTGAACTATTTATGGGACATTGCTTTATCATGGGTCTCCTCAGAACAAGAATCTTCTACCACAGAATAAGGCTGTCACTACATGCAGTGGAAGGAAGTAGACCAGGACTTTTATGAAGAGCAAGCCTGGCTCATGATTTCAAGAGGGAAAATTTCTTCCCTTTGACGCTGACAAGATATCAGCACTGTCCATGTTCAGACTTCTCCAACTATTTCCATAAATGTCCTTTAGAACCTCTTCTCCCTGCCTCAGGATCGCCTCAGCACTCAGGAACTATTCCTTACTCCGGAGCAGACTCCAGCATGGTGTGCATTCTTGGCATTGATTGTTAGAAGAGCTCTGCCATATGTCTTATGAGGCATCTCTTACCTGAGGTTTGTCGATTGCTTCCTCAAAAATCAGGTTCAAGTTAACAACATTTTAGCATGAACCTGCTTGGGTGTCCTTCCTCGTGTGCATTGTCAGGAGCTACAGGATGCAATCTTGGCTCCTGATGGGTGGTTAAATTGGATCACTTGCTTAAGGTGGTTTCAGCTTGATCTTCCCAATGTAGCCAGCTTTTTCCTGTTATGAGTCATGACTCATCTGTGAGTATGCTTGAGACTGTGGGACACATTATTGCCTTGCAACCTTTTTACCCAGCTCAGCATCCATGGGTGAT